AAGCTGGAAAACAGCAGGGCGTTTGTTTGGCGTTTTTGTTTTTTTTTCTCTCCGTTACAAATTCTTTCCCCCGTGTTTTACAGAGATAATGGTTAAAACTAATAATGTCCAAGATTTATTAAGAGTCCAAGCACTCTTGTGAGTGTTTTCTATATTGAACTCGTCTAATCCTGACAATGGTCCTGTGAGGTGGGCTGCTATTCCCATTTTACGAATGTGGACACTGAGGCGCAGCTTAAGTTCGTGGCCGACAGTCCCATAGCTTGCAAGCGGCTGAGTTGGGATGGGAACCCAGAACACTTGTTTGCAGAGCGTGTACTCTGTACCACTAGTTCCCTTATTAAAAACTAGTTTTCCCTTTTATTGGTTATAATGTAACATATTTGTTCTTACAAAGTTACATCTGTATGGTTCAGATTTCAGATTTAATTGAGCATGTTTTTGAACACCTCAGTGCATAGTATGACTTCAGGGATAAATGAGACATGGTTCTTGTTCTCAAAAGAAATGGAAAATTGTCACCCATGCATTATCAAATTGTTTGGCAATTTTCCAGGTGACCTTAGCTGTATTGATGGCTCCAAAAAGGAGACTGGAGAATCACGTGGAGGATAGTTTAGATCCAAGAAACTAGCTGAAGTGTTGCATGGACCTAAATCCCCTTTATACCGTTAACTATTGACTAGTGTTATTCTTTTTTTTATTTTTATTTTATTTTTTTAAACAAATCCACTTTTCCTTTTTTAATATATTTTATTGATTTTTTTACAGAGAGGAAGGGAGAGGGATAGAGAGTTAGAAACATCGATGAGAGAGAAACATCGATCAGCTGCCTCCTGCACACTCCCTACTGGGTATGTGCCCGCAACCAAGGTATATGCCCTTGACTGGAATCGAACCTGGGACCCTTGAGTCCGCAGGCCGACGCTCTATCCACTGAGCCAATCCAGTTAGGGCTATTCATTTTTTTTTTTAAATGTATTTTTATTGATTTCAGAGAAAAAGGGAGAGGGAGAGATAGAAACATCAATGATGAGAGAGAATCATTGATTGGCAGCCTCCTGCACGCCCCCTGCTGGGGATCCAGCCCGCAACCCAGGCATGTGCGGTTAACTGGAATCGAACCCGGGACCCTTCAGTCTGCAGGCTGATGCTCTATCCACTGAGCCAAACCAGCTAGGGCTTGACTAATGTTATTCTAATGGATGATAGTTGAAAAAGCTTAAGATGTGTTGATTGATAATCAAATTATTTTCATGGGGTTAGCATAATATTGTTTTTTTTTTAAACATAAAAGTGAAATCTAGAACCTTATGTGAGATCTCATTCTTAAGTATACTTATTTTTTCATGTTTACTTTTTTTCATAGGCTGGAATATTTCAAGAGTTTAAAGTTCAGGAAGAGCCTGTTACTTTCCGAATTAATTTAACTGTCCTTTTAGACTGCTTATCTATTTTTGGATCAAGTCCTACGCCAGGTGAACCATTTAATTATCATTATAATAATTAACTATTTTTCTGGACATAGAATGGCCAGGAAACGTTATTAGAATATAAGTACTTGTAGGGAGCGGCTATCGGGTCAAGCCTGGGATTGACCTGTGGCAGGGCCACAAACAAGACCCAGCTTGAAGGGCAGAGCCCTCCTAGGATAATTAAGCTTAACCTTCTAGTCCTCCCTAGTTCCTTCCTAGGTAGCTGTGAGGTGGGCTGCTATTCCCATTTTACGAATGTGGACACTGAGGCGCAGCTTAAGTTCGTGGCCGACAGTCCCATAGCTTGCAAGCGGCTGAGTTGGGATGGGAACCCAGAACACTTGTTTGCAGAGCGTGTACTCTGTACCACTAGTTCCCTTATTAAAAACTAGTTTTCCCTTTTATTGGTTATAATGTAACATATTTGTTCTTACAAAGTTACATCTGTATGGTTCAGATTTCAGATTTAATTGAGCATGTTTTTGAACACCTCAGTGCATAGTATGACTTCAGGGATAAATGAGACATGGTTCTTGTTCTCAAAAGAAATGGAAAACTGTCACCCATGCATTATGAAATTGTTTGGCAATTTTCCAGGTGACCTTAGCTGTATTGATGGCTCCAAAAAGGAGACTGGAGAATCACGTGGAGGATAGTTTAGATCCAAGAAACTAGATGAAGTGTTGCATGGACCTAAATCCCCGTTATACCGTTAACTATTGACTAGTGTTATTCTTTTTTTTATTTTTATTTTATTTTTTTAAACAAATCCACTTTTCCTTTTTTAATATATTTTATTGATTTTTTTACAGAGAGGAAGGGAGAGGGATAGAGAGTTAGAAACATCGATGAGAGAGAAACATCGATCAGCTGCCTCCTGCACATGCCATGGATACTCCGCGCCCAGTTCAATGAACCCCAAGGCTTTGGCGGACGTCATCGAAGCTGGAAAACAGCAGGGCGTTTGTTTGGCGTTTTTGCTTTTTTCTCTCCGTTATACAAATTCTCCCCCGTGTTTTACAGAGATAATGGTTAAAACTAATAATGTCCAAGATTTATTAAGAGTCCAAGCACTCTTGTGAGTGTTTTCTATATTGAACTCGTCTAATCCTGACAATGGTCTTGTGAGATGGGCTGCTATTCCCATGTTAGGTCTGTGGACACTGAGGCGCAGCTTAAGTGCGTGGCTGACAGTCCCATAGCTTGCAGGCGGCTGAGCTGGGATGGGAACCCAGAACATTTGTTTGCAGAGCGTGTACTCTGTACCACTAGTTCCCTTATTAAAAACTAGTTTTCCCTCTCATTGGTTATAATGTAACATATTTGTTCTTACAAAGTTACATCTGTATGGTTCAGATTTCAGATTTAATTGAGCATGTTTTTGAACACCTCAGTGCATAGTATGACTTCAGGGATAAATGAGACATGGTTCTTGTTCTCAAAAGAAATGGAAAACTGTCACCCATGCATTATGAAATTGTTTGGCAATTTTCCAGGTGACCTTAGCTGTATTGATGGCTCCAAAAAGGAGACTGGAGAATCACGTGGAGGATAGTTTAGATCCAAGAAACTAGATGAAGTGTTGCATGGACCTAAATCCCCGTTATACCGTTAACTATTGACTAGTGTTATTCTTTTTTTTATTTTTATTTTATTTTTTTAAACAAATCCACTTTTCCTTTTTTAATATATTTTATTGATTTTTTTACAGAGAGGAAGGGAGAGGGATAGAGAGTTAGAAACATCGATGAGAGAGAAACATCGATCAGCTGCCTCCTGCACACCCCCTACTGGGTATGTGCCCGCAACCAAGGTATATGCCCTTGACTGGAATCGAACCTGGGACCCTTGAGTCCGCAGGCCGACGCTCTATCCACTGAGCCAATCCAGTTAGGGCTATTCATTTTTTTTTTTAATGTATTTTTATTGATTTCAGAGAAAAAGGGAGAGGGAGAGATAGAAACATCAATGATGAGAGAGAATCATTGATTGGCAGCCTCCTGCACGCCCCCTGCTGGGGATCCAGCCCGCAACCCAGGCATGTGCGGTTAACTGGAATCGAACCCGGGACCCTTCAGTCTGCAGGCTGATGCTCTATCCACTGAACCAAACCAGCTAGGGCTTGACTAATGTTATTCTAATGGATGATAGTTGAAAAAGCTTAAGATGTGTTGATTGATAATCAAATTATTTTCATGGGGTTAGCATAATATTGTTTTTTTTTTAAACATAAAAGTGAAATCTAGAACCTTATGTGAGATCTCATTCTTAAGTATACTTATTTTTTCATGTTTACTTTTTTTCATAGGCTGGAATATTTCAAGAGTTTAAAGTTCAGGAAGAGCCTGTTACTTTCCGAATTAATTTAACTGTCCTTTTAGACTGCTTATCTATTTTTGGATCAAGTCCTACGCCAGGTGAACCATTTAATTATCATTATAATAATTAACTATTTTTCTGGACATAGAATGGCCAGGAAACGTTATTAGAATATAAGTACTTGTAGGGAGCGGCTATCGGGTCAAGCCTGGGATTGACCTGTGGCAGGGCCACAAACAAGACCCAGCTTGAAGGGCAGAGCCCTCCTAGGATAATTAAGCTTAACCTTCTAGTCCTCCCTAGTTCCTTCCTAGGTAGCTAATGGGCTGTGGGAGGGGTAGCAAGTGCTGCCAAAACAAGTGAAACTCACAAGAACATTGTAAACTGTGTTGACCACTTCCCTTGTTTTGCTTTGTGTGCTCTGACTATAAAATAAAGCTTCGGCTTGTAGGCTGTGTCTCTCCGTGTCCTCATCCAGGCTCAGGAGATCCACCTAGCCCCAGCTGTATTCTCTTTGTCTGTCTTGAATCCTTCACCATCCCTCCTCAGGCTCACTGAACCTGGCCATGCTGGACGCGGTTCAAGTACTATCAGCATTTCTTTAGAAAATGAATTGCCAATTCATTTTTCAATGGTGACAATCATGGATTCTGACTTTTTATAGTATTAATAGAAAGTGTGCTTATGGTTCTTTTCATATTTGCAAAAGTATTTACATTCATCTTTTTTCAACTTACAAAGCTTTTACATTTGAACTAGTGCTCGTTTCAGCAGCACATATATTAAATTTGAACTAACCAAAAGAAGACTTGAACTTGTCGTAATTGTCTTTAACATTTGTGAAATGTTTTATTTGCTTCTCTTCCCTAACTTGTCCAGAATTATACAGTTAGTGGTAGAGAAAAATAGAAACCAATTCTCCTGACTCTCAGTTTACTGCATTCAAAATGTTTTCCATTTTCTCCCATTAACTCCTGTGTATAAATTGTCTATTTTCCTAAATGCTTTCCTTTAAAATATTTATGTTTTATTTGTTTAGGGAATTTTTTATGAATAGGGAATTTGGTTGCTATGGATATACTAGTAAAACTACAGGGAATTCCCAGAAGAATGATTTTATTTCATAAGAAAGGAATTGAGATTAACTAGGGAAAAATTCAGTTACGATTCTCTAGAAAATATACTTTAATTTTATACTGACACTTCCATTGTTGTTAATTATACATTTTCTTTTTTTAATCCTCACCCGAGGATATTTTTCATTGAATTTTAGAGAGAGTGGAAGAGAGAGGGAAAGACAGAAATATCGATGTGAGAGAAACACATGGATTGGTTGCCCCCTGCATGAGCCCTGACCAGGGCGGGGATAGCGGAGGAGCCTGTAACCTAGGTACATGTCCTTGGCCGGAATTGAACCCAGGACCCTTTGGTCCGCAGGCCAAGGCCCAAACTGGCTAGGGCATTCATTACATTTTTTAATGCAGCTGGTTTTTCATGAAAGCATCTGCCTTCCCCCCTTCCTCACTGTGGCCCTCCATCTTTCAGGAAGCTAAAGGAGCTAGAGTGTCCTGTCATACCCCTCTCTGTCTAATGGTTTGCAGTGTTAAAACCCTAACCTCCATGAACCATCCTCTCTTTTTCTCCCAATTTGATCTTAAAATTTTGGAAAATGTAAGAATGTCTCCCAAAAGAAAAGATTGGAAGGATCCTTAAAGTCAAGCACGTCAAACTCGTGGCCTGCGAGCTGAGAGTTTGACAGGCTTGCTTATAGTGAATACACTGGCATTTAGTACAGATAATATCAACGCAATCCACTGTTGTACAAATTAGACCTTCAAGAAACAGCATGGTCTATTCTGCAACAACTCTGTGACTTGCAGTATCAGACCATGTACTCTCCGTCCTGATATTGTGTGTACATGTAATCAAGAAGGTATTTCAGAGGTGTTCTGCCAACCTGGAAAAGGATTTCAGAGTTACATTACACTTTGTTCCCAATTTTCTTGCAATTATGTTTGGAATTCGCTGATGACAGTATGTACATCAGGAAAGATGTGATCCTTTCTTATAGAGACACACATTTATGCTAGAAATAGGGCAGGATAAAGTGTTCTTGAGGAGCTTTATGTGTCATTTGACAAAAACCTGAACCCAGAGGATCACAGCTAAGTCCAAAGTGTGATGCGTTTCCATTGCAGGGAATTTAACCGCACTTCGAATGTGTTACCAAGGTTATGGTTGCCCCTTGATGCTATTTCTGGAAGAAGGAGGAGTGGTGACCGTCTGTAAAATCAATACCCAGGAGCCTGAGGAAACTCTGGATTTTGATTTCTGCAGCACCAATGTGATTAACAAAATTATTCTGCAGTCAGAGGGGCTCCGTGAAGCATTTTCCGAATTGGATATGACGAGTGAGGTCCTACAGATCACCATGTCTCCTGAGAAGCCTTATTTCAGGTCCTTACAGCTAATGTCCTTTACTCCTTCTTCCTATTTACACATTTGCTAAGGATGTAGGACTTACATAGAGTGTTATCCAGGGTGCTAGAATTTTCAGAACTTTAGCGAGCTTTTACTCTTCTCCCACACTTTTATTGATCAGGGCACTTAAGATCGGGAAAATTAACTCACTAGTTCATCTTCATAGCTGCATAGTTAGGCAGCGTTGGTTTCTAGATGAGTAGCTCCGTCTCCTACTTTAAAAACTAGTGGTCTTTTCATTGTTGTACTACTTAAACTGTTGTAGAAACAATGTCAGAATATTAATGAGTAAAGGGTTTTAAATATCTACTTTAGAAGAACTGAAGGCCCTTCTCATGGCATTAGGTAGTTAAATATTTCGCTCAAGGTCTGTTAAAATATTAATCAAAATGCAAATCAGTGGAACCCTACTTAAACAGTGATATGAATTAAAATTCCAGGCACTTACTAGTAAACAGTATTTCAGAGGGTCCCCACCTATATGATCTCGCTCAGCATGGGCAGCTGGAAGGTTCCTGGTTGTCTTTCATCTCCGCTGTGAAATGATTCCGTGGTGGAGACCTGAATGCGCTTCTTAACACGTTTCGTACCGCATTGAAATCTCTAAGACATATGCCATGGACCGCACGTTTTTGGGCAAACTGCACGTTATTTAAATCATCATAACTACAGATCATAAAGCACTTTAGGTGTTGTTTTTCAATAATTATAACATTTTTATTTACCAAAACAATTAAACAATTAAAGTTCCTAGTACTTTTTTACCATATGGTACTGCGTAAAACATTTTCTAAAAGCGCCAGGAACTTGAAGACGAAGACTATTCGAATGACCAAAATACAATGTAACTACAATGCTTTATGGGTTCGTGCAATTATATAGTTTTTTGTAGATTGACCTGCACGGTTTCCGCCAATGAGATCGCTTCATTCGATGTTGACAAGACAGTGTGTTGACATCTAAGGTCCATAACAGATGGTGCGTGAAAAACGAGAAAACTCGTGAGCGGTCCTTAACAGATGGCGCGCGAAACACGAGAAAGCTCGTGAGCGGTACGGAAAGGTGTTAAGGAAGTGTCTTCTGTATTTGGATCCTGGTGTGGCTTACTATTGGACCAATGAATAAATGACTTCCTCATTTTCTACTGTAGGTTATCTACTTTTGGGAATGCAGGAAGCTCCCACCTTGACTATCCCAAAGATTCTGATTTGATGGAATCCTTTAATTGTAACGAAACCCAAGTTAACAGGTCAGTTCTGGTGATGAAGAGGTGGTAAAATACCAAATTTCTATTAAATAAATTTTAAAACTTTCAATCTGTTGAAAAAAGTGTAGTATTTTTAAAAAATGAACAGTAGGTTCTGGGTTTACTTGGGGATTTGGGGTTATAGTGGATGAAATTATTTTTAATGAAGAGAAAATATTAGCAAATTGACTAAGTATTGGATTTTATTGTACTTGCTACTTGGTAGTTGTTGGCTAACTTTTGTTCTTTTCTGGGAGTTCTGAGCACAGTTGGACGTGCGTCCAAATAACAGCTGTTTATTTACTCTTCTACAGATACAAGATCTCTTTACTGAAGCCCTCGACGAAGGCATTGGTCCTGTCGTGCAAGGTGTCTATTCGGACAGACAACCGAGGCTTCCTCTCGTTACAGTACATGATCAGGAATGAAGATGGACAGATCTGTTTTGTGGAGTATTACTGCTGCCCTGATGAAGAAGTTCCTGATTCAGAGTCTTAAGTACGACTGTGCACTGTGACATTTTATGTCGACATTCACAATAGGTCACATTCTCATTGTTACGATTTCATACTGCATTTCCCAAACGGAAGAGGCATGGAGGAGACTGGAGCAAGATCCCTGTGCTCTAAGTCACTGTGGAAGGAGATGTTTCTTGTAGTCACAGATGACCCAGTACTGGACTATCCTGTGGTCCTGTTTTTTGAACTCATAGGAATTATTATGAGCCATGATGAATAAATTATATATTCTATTTAAGTAGGACATTTCAAAAGGCTGAAAATTTAAAGTTTGATGGAGCCATATGTGAAATGTTCTTTTATTTATTTATTAGAAAAAGCAAAGGCATATGGGTATTGCTTATTAGTTTGAATTCTGGAGAATATATCTTAAAGCATTGGTTCTTAAAGGGCTATGCCCAGACCAGCACCATCAGCATCACCTAGAAACTTGTCAAAAACTCTGCGAGTTGCCCAGCAAAGCAGGCCCCTAACTCCGGAAATTCTGATGTGTGCCCAAGTTTGAGAGCCACTATGTGAAAAGATACTAAAAAAAAAAAAAAGCATTTGATTACATTGAAGTGGTTGCTTTTCTTTGTGATTTCTCCACAAACTTTCTGAAACTTAGGCATCACCAAACAGGTCTGAATATATGACTTATTTTTAAGTATTTATTTTGAAGACATGAACAAGATACAAAACAGTCTTCAGAGTTAGAGGTTTTCTTGTTCTCCAAACTGTCCAGTATAGTGAGTCCTACAGTGAGTACTTATTAATTCCTTCTATTTCCCTATAAGCGTTTCTCAACTAAACCAAGGTGGAGCAAGCCATTGCGTGATTTTGTATTTCTTGGGTAATTCACAATGAAATAATTTTGTGGGATGTAGATATTTAATAAAGTATAATACTGAAATTATCTGACCTGTTTTCTAGTAGGAAAAAACACATATCTAAAATGAAGTTTCTGTACCAGGCGACAACAGCTTTGTGTGTGTTGGTGGGAAGGCACCATTGATTGGCCTTTTGGGTGGGATGGTTCTTCATGGGGAAAAACTCATCCCACTGCAGGATTCATCTAGCCTCCCTGGTCCTGACCTACTAGGGCTGTCATTATGACCATCCTCCCCGCAAATAAAAGTGGCCCCTCCTATTGATGGTTGAGAACCACTAAATAATATTCACCACAACTGGAGGGTATATTTGGAATGCCATCCTTTAAAATGGGCCACACAGCATCCGGGAGATTGGTTTGGAGAGAATTGGAGCCAAGCACTTCAGAGAAAGGCCACCCTGGACAGTTGTACGCACTATTCCCAGACACATTCCCAGTCTGTATTGAGCCCAGGGTGAGTATGCACCAGCTAACACGTCCCCCAGGCAATTTCAGCATGCCTGGCAGGTAGGCACAAAAGAAGTTGGAGTTTTGTAAAGAATAGTATGTGTTCAAGAAGGAAGTGAATAAGTCTAAATGTCCAAATATTTTTTGTTTAGATAAACACCAAGAACAGAACAAATTAAAACATAATTCATGCGCCTGGATTGCGGGCTTGATATCCAGTAGGGGGTGTGCAGGAGGCAGCCAATCAATGACACTCTCTCATCATTGGTGTTTCTATCTCTCTCTCCCTCTCCCTTCCTCTCTGAAATAAATAAACAAACATAATTATGAAACTATTTCATCAATCAACATGTCAAGGACTACAGTTTCCCTTTAAATTGAAAACAGTGCGGTTATTATTGATTTTTGTTCACTGGTATGTCACTAGAAAGGTGCCCAGCATATAACAGGCATTCAGTAAATATTAGATGATGAAAGAACTTCTACTTTCAGATTATTGTTTAGCATCTTATTAGTCACTATTTAATTCCCATTATTTAGCTCTGAATTTATTTTGGTCTAGTGTTTTTTTAAAAGTTGAACCTATGAAGAATTTAGAATATAAACTGGTTTAATAAGAGATTGGCATTTTTGCACATTTAAGACTTATTTTAGCTACATCTATCTTTAGCTATTTAGAATTTAGAAGCTAATGAATTTGATTCTTTTTTAAATCACTAACATTGAGGTACTACTGATGTAATAAAGACTTCCCTATTATGTGTGTTCTGTGTGACCTAGGAATTGGCTAGTTTAACTTCGTTCTAGCTCCTATGAAAGAGCACTAGGGGGAGCACTTCCTCAGTCAGCAGGACGCTCTGTGACTACAAATTCACATCAGATAGAGAAGAACATAATCTTTTAAGACCTTTAGTTTTGCCTTTTTGAAGTTTATTTCATTTCCGTTTCAGTAAAATTGTGCTTATCATGAATGGGTCAGTACTGTTTTTCCATTTTTAATATGCTTATTCCCTATTTGATAATGTACTTACACCCAGAATCCTATATAATAAAAGGTTAATATGCAAATTGCCCCCTCAACCAGGAGTTCAACCTCATGTTCAACCAAGGGGCAGGGCCTTCAGGCCAACAGCCCACGGCTCCTCCCCCTGGCCAGAGGGCTGGCCGGACCCCCCAACCCGTGCACAAATTTGTGCACCAGGCCTCTAGTAGGTAAAATGATTCAAAATAATTAAAATCATTTGTTAAATTCTACTTTTTATAATAAAAATAAGTAACACAATCATTTTATAAGAAGCCCTGGGATTTCCGTGGTGTCATCAAGTAGTCCTAGTAGGAGTTAGTCACAGTGACTGCCCAGCACATCTTCCCTGCGCCCCTACCCTGTCCCACCTCCACACTGCCTGTGCCTGCTCCCTGCCCTGTCCTGCCCCACACTGCCTGTGCCTGCTCCCTGCCCTGTCCCACCTCCACACTGCCTGTGCCTGCTCCCTGCCCTGTTCTGCCCCACACTGCCTGTGCCCCTTCCCTGTCCTGCCCCCACACTGCCTGTGCCTGCTCCCTGCCCTATCGCACCTCCACACTGCCTGTGCCTGCTCCCTGCCCTGTCCTGCCCCACACTGCCTGTGCCTGCCCCTTCCCTGTCCTGCCCCACACTGCCTGTGCCTGCTCCCTGCCCGAAACAAAACCTTTGGGGTCCTGAGAAATTGGGAAATGGCATAGGCTTCTCCTTTTCCCAGTTATGTATTGGATGGGGTTTTCTACCCGTGTCAGCTTACATGCTCCCCCGCAGCAGTTGGCAGCTCTGCTGTGGACTTCCTGCTCCAGGACTGGACAGCTGTGCTCTGACCAGAAATGCCACAGGCAGCTGCTCCAGGTGATCCTGGTGCCATGGATCCGTCACCGCCAGAGGCTTGGATAGTTAACAGAGCAAATGTTTGAAGTAGGTTTTCCTTTTGAAATTAGTAGTTTGTTGATCAATCTAGTACATATTAGGAGTGACTCTCATTGGTAAAACTACAAGTATTCAGGGTATGTGAACTTAGTAAATTATTTCAGAGTACTTCCCCATCCTTGCAGGAAAAGGAGATAAGGATGTAGTGAAGCCTGTAGCCCAAGCATGTCAAACTCAAAGGCTAACATGGGCCAAATAAATGAGGCATGTGGCCCACGGGCCTCGAGTTTGACATGCTTGTTAGCCTGTACCTTCAGGCCTCGTACCTGACACTTGCCCCTAAAAGGTCTTCCTTCTTATCATGTTGTCCAAGGATTTCTGGTTGCTTCTTGTTGACTGTGTAGGACAGTCCCCTCCCTGGAATATTATCAAGTTCACCTTAAGTGGGCCTTCCCTGGACTGTGGTGAGTGAATGGAAACAGAGAAGGGCTTCACTAAGCACAGGACAGGTTGCTAATAAGTGTCTATTAAAATCAGTGTGTGGAACAGTCTGATCTGGGCTTGGTTTTTTTGTTTTTTCTAATTTGGCACCGAGATTGTAGGAAAATAGCTAATGCTCATGACTTTAAAAATGTCAATGCCATTAGCTGATTGAGAAGAATGTAAGAGTTGTATGTGACAACATTGACTCAGGCAGTTAGAAACATCAGAGATTAGATTGGATTATCCAGGTTGCTCATTCCACTGAGTGGACGGAAAGTAACTTGGTTCCCATCTAGTTTTCCCAGTGAGAATGCAAGTTTACATTAGGTTGAACAGTTGGCAACTAGCTAACAATAAAGGAAAACTAGAAATAGTAAAACCAAAGTTCAAATGCAAGAACAGGGTTACACCATAAAATCGTATTTTAAATGTTATATTTTATGCTAGTTTATTGATATAGGCTTGTCAGTTTGGAGATCTTAAGACTTTGGTGTCTGACAAATAGTAAAAATTTAAAAAAATTTAGTGCCACCCAAAATGGAATCTGAATGGTCACTTTCTCTGGTACTTTGTTTTTCATCACAGTTATTGTTGAAACTTCATTTTCAACTGGATCTGTGAAAATGGAAACCGCTCAGAATGTTCTGGGTAAGAAGAGCAGCCCCATCTCCAGGCAGGGCTACAATCTGTGACTTACTGGGCTCTGCCAGAAGGTGATGGAATAAGCGCCCTTCAGCCAAGCTGCAACTGAGACCTGGGTCCTGGGGGCCAAGCCTAGAGCATTCTGGGAAGTAGCGAAGGGTGAGCCATTGGTGAATTAGCACGTTGTGCTTCCGCCACAGCAGAACACTGCTCAGCGCGATGCCCTGGATGCTGACTATTAGGTTTTACAGACTGAACAAATGACTGAAATAAATTTCTTAAATGAAGTACCAAAATGTGGTACAGGCAGGGCTACAATTAGTGTGACGTACTGGGCTCTGCCAGAAGGTCGATGGAATAAGCGCCCTTCAGCCAGGCTGCAACTGAGACCTGGTCCTGGGGGCCAAGCCTAGAGCATTCTGGGAAGTAGCGAAGGGTGGGCCATTGGTGAATTAGCACGTTGTGCTTCCGCCACAGCAGAACACTGCTCAGCGCGATGCCCTGGGTGCTGACTATTAGGTTTTACAGACTGAACAAATGACTGAAATAAATTTCTTAAATGAAGTACCAAAATGTGGTTTGATAAACACTGAGTGAACGAAATTGACATTTGGATCCCCAAAGACACAGGGACTTCCAGCTCTATTAGTCAGCCCAGGTAACTGAGAAAGGCTGGAACGGGAGAAATAAAAGTTTTTATAGTGTCACACCTGTAACACTGCTGCTGCTGCTGCTGCTGCTGCTGCTGCTGCTGCTGCTGCTGCTGCTGCTGCTGCTGCTGCTGCTGCTGCTGCTGCTGCTGCTGCTGCTGCTGCTGCTGCTGCTGCTGCTGCTGCTGCTGCTGCTGCTGCTGCTGCTGCTGCTGCTGCTGCTGCTGCTGCTGCTGCTGCTGCTGCTGCTGCTGCTGCTGCTGCTGCTGCTGCTGCTGCTGCTGCTGCTGCTGCTGCTGCTGCTGCTGCTGCTGCTGCTGCTGCTGCTGCTGCTGCTGCTGCTGCTGCTGCTGCTGCTGCTGCTGCTGCTGCTGCTGCTGCTGCTGCTGCTGCTGCTGCTGCTGCTGCTGCTGCTGCTGCTGCTGCTGCTGCTGCTGCTGCTGCTGCTGCTGCTGCTGCTGCTGCTGCTGCTGCTGCTGCTGCTGCTGCTGCTGCTGCTGCTGCTGCTGCTGCTGCTGCTGCTGCTGCTGCTGCTGCTGCAGAGACTTCTTTTCCCTGGAGTCCCTAGCTCTGCTTTTGATCCGCCACTGCGCTCAGTGTTGATAAATACACGTTGTGGCCCAGAGTTTCTGTTAGCGGCCAGGTTGGCTTTATCGGCGGCTGCCTTGTACAGAGGTTTCCTCTTTACTGCCAGGAGAAGACCTGGAGGAGAGGAGAAGACGGTTAGTGGACTTTATTTATAAGGTTCAGGCCTCCTCTTCCTCCTTCCAGCACCCAGTCGCTGCCTTGTAGAGCCTGAGGGCTGAATTCAGTCTGAGGCAGCTATTTCCCCAGGAGACCATACCTCTAAAACGCCAGCTCTTCTAAAAGGCCTCGGGAAATGGTATTAGAGCAAGCATGTCAAACTC